AATAAGGGGTCAAACTTTGTCCGTTTGTACTACTCACCTATAACCAGCCGTGCGAGCACTAGCTAGATATTTCGACAAGTGTACTTTTATTGCGTTCTGTATTCAGGCTAGATAAGTGCATATCAATCACGCGTAGATCAAAACTGTCGATCACAGTATGTTTTTTCAAAGGAAGCAGTGCCTACTAATTCATCCCCTTACAAACTCTTACTGGACGAAAGTGTGTCAACTTAATTGCAGATGGCAGAAGACTTTTTGTTTGCTCTTAATTTTATAGGGTCCACGGCAGCGACGAATATGAATGAACACAGTTCGCGTTCTCATGCAATTTTCACGGTTACAGTGGAGTGCTGCGAACTTCTGGAATCCGGAAAGGAGACGCTTCGTCAGGGGAAACTTCATTTGGTCGATTTGGCCGTAAGCATTATATTTAAAAGAATTGCAATTTTTCCCTTTATTAACATCTGCTGGTTTTTCCCATAATCCAATCGAGGGGGTCCGTGTCTTCTAGCATTCCAGCCAAACGGCAGAAGCATAGGAAGCAGAGTGCCTGTCAAATAAGAAAAATGATGTGCATAGAAGTACAGACGAACAGCAAAAACGCGTACGAAGTACTGGGCCTAGTTTATCGTTTATGTCACGCCTCTGGCACTGAATGAAGCCAAACGTTTAGATATGAATCCACCCTAGGCAATTCTAGACGTTTATGTCGAAGGTTGTATAGCCTGCGTCTTTGAAGGTTAAAAAACGACGCAGAGGCCTCCTAGCCAAGCAAATGGTCACTAACAAATGAAAGGCTTTAAGAAGGAAGTGTCTTTTAAAATATATCGGAAGGGCGTTCAAACAAGAAAGAGCCTGATAGCTCTCACGCATCGCACTGCTAATATGACAAACACGAAAGTATCAATCCACAGGCTCGGAGCAGGTAGATTATTCTACAATCTAAACTTTTATTCAAGCTCTGGATCTGAAATGATGGTTCTACGCATTAAATTGAGGCCCTATTATCTAATTCTGACCTTAAAAATACGTCTGTAAAACGGTCTGGTCTGAACTGTGAATTTTATTAACAAAAATGTGGTGTTAGAAAATTTATCCTGCGGATAATTTAAGTGAAAGGCAGATAACCAAAAACCTTAAAGACATCTATTATGTTCTAAATACTTTGGCACTTCAGACACGATCAAAAATTGTCCCGCTGTTAAGCAAGGAGTTTTGCGTACGTAATTGGTGGTTCAAAGTGTCGATGTCTTTGCCAAAATCTAAAAAGACGGTCTTGGCAGTCCCCTTTAGCAATGTTAGATCTCAGTTACGTATAGACAATTCTATCGACTAGGGTTAAGCTAGCCACATGTGTTTTGGACATTGCAATTAAGGTCTTAGGGGATATCTTTCAGTATTGTGACGTGAACGCTAATATAAGCTATACACACCCGGTCTTTTATAAGGTCGGGTTGACGATGATAAGGCTGGCCTCTTTTGGAGATGTCGAAGAACCTGCTTAAGAGACTGACTTTTACCGTTGAAGGTGAAAAGCCCGATGATAGGAATATCGAAACCAGTTTTTCCTACGTGTTGGGGAAAAGTAAACTGAACTTTAAACTTAAATGTGTGTCATAAGCCTTAACTTAATAGGATATACTATTAAGGACTAGGATAGCCATTATTTGTCTGATCATACGCATAAGAAGTGATTTTTAAATCCGAAAAGTAATTGGCGAGCATACGTATACTTTAAATAAATTCTCATCAGGCCATCACATTTATATGGAAGGGAGGTAAAGCGTGAAAGGTTAATTGTAGGTAAATTACGTTCAACGTTACAAGCAAATTAGCCCAGGGGATAGGGAAGGGGGTAGGGTAGTAACAAGCGGCTAATTAAGCGGCAATTAGGGAGAAGGGGGGGGGAAGGGAGAGAGGAGCCTCGGGGAAAATGCCGGTAGCTAGGTGGCCGTTGGCCATGCTAAGCTTGGGGCTTGCAGGGTTCTTCCGCGCGCACAAAATTGGCTTCCGCAACTGGATAGCACTTGCTTCTGCTGTTGTCAGCAGGCGCTGACCCAGTGAGTTAGGGTAGCTTGGTGGGACCTTGTAGATCACCCTGAAGGCTTCGTTGGGGT